GTCATGGTGGAATAGTTTAACACTGGGTTCAAGCACAGACAATTATTACACTATGTGCAATACAAAGTCACAACATGCAAAGCTATGACAGCCAATAACACATATTACAGGTGGCTGGGCTTAATGTATAGTAACAGTACTTCAAATTGTGATTTAATAGGTCAAAATGTTTCTCTCTCTCTAGCCTTCATGTATTGAATTTGACACATTAAATAATGATTTGGAAGTCCTGTGAATACTACCATTTGTTGGATGAGTTCTGAGGCTAATATATGTTTTTATTGATCAACATTTTTGTATTATATATTTATGACTGTTATGCATGACTGTATATCTTAAGTTGGACTTTGATGGGTCCTTTTAGGACATAGAAACTTGATAGATCATGTTTCCACAACTATCACAAAGTCCCAGCTTGACATGCAGATGAGCACAGGTTGGTAATTAAGCAGTGGATTTTGGACAGGTCTGCTTGTAACAGATGTCACCAATATATATATAATTTACTGTAGTACATCACTTGACTGCGTCAAGTTCGACTTTGACAAGTCTCCTTTGGGCATAGAAACTCAGAGAAGTCATGTCTCAACACCTATAACAGAATTCCCAACTTGACATGCTTGAACAGAAATAGGCATAGTCTTTCAGACTTCACCCTGCATTTCTGCAGGTACACTTAGAAATGAGAAATGGATGCTATTTTAAACACTGCTTTTTAAAAAAAAAAACAAAGTATAGGTTAGGACACTTTCACCAAAACCGTCCATGGACTGTACAGTTTTGACCTTTTGGGTCTCATTTAGCACCAGGTATGGTAGTTGAAGTTGAGAGCATATAGCTAGGTTCCAAATAATATATGGTGAGACCAAACACCAAAACTCACAGCAAGGCAGACAGACAAATTACTGTTAAAAACAGAACATGTAAACATACAGAATCCAACGCACTAGCATAATCATGAAACACCAGCTTTTACACATTTTTTTTTTAATATATATATATACTGTATATAAAATGAACAATGGTTTAAAATCAATGGCTTATAAATAACTGGCTCAACAGTACAATAAACACAGGAACACTAAGCACCACAACCACTATAGCTTAGTGTAGTAGACCTGGTGCCTAGTTGATATCGCTTTAAGAAGTATTTGCACCATACTACTAGCAGTTGGACCAGTTTTAGAAGAAGCTCCTAGATTGTAAGCTCATTTGAGCAGATTGCTCTTTGTTTTATGTTTCTGCCAGTATTTTTTTGTCTATTAATGACCTCCTCTTTTTTATTCCTAAATTATTGTACAGCACCAAGTTGATGCTATATAAATGCTAACAATGCAAAGAAGAAGACAATATCTGCTTCTGATGTTATAAAAAGATGCGTGCTCTGACTATCTATAAATAATATGCTCTTAGAATGGAAAACAGAACATTAAAACATGTCATTTTTGACAGTAATAAACAAGACATTCTGTTAAAAAGTCTTATTAAATCCACTGATATTTATATCAGACAAGGCTTTGTAACTTTTCATATGTTCATCTATAAGTAGTAACAAGCAGGAGCTGACAGAGAAATGAAACATATTAAAGGGACACTATAGTCACCAGAACAACTACAGCTTATTGAATTTGTTCTGGTGAGTAGAATCATTCCCTTCAGGCTTTTTGCTGTAAACACAGTTTTTTTCAGAGAAAATGCAGTGTTTACATTACAGCCTAGTGGTAAATTCACTGGCCACTCCTCAGATGGCTGTTAGAGATCCTTCCTGGGTCATGGCTGCCTCAAATGCATCCAAACGTTCAGTATCTACTCCCTCTGCATGCAGACACTGAACTTTCCTCATAGAGATTCATTGATTCAATTCATCTCTATGAGGAGATGCTGATTGGCCAGGGCTGTGTTTGAATTGTCCTGGCTCTGCCCCTGATCTGCCTCCTTGTCAGTGTCAGCCAATCCTATGGGGAAGCATTGTGATTGGATCAGGCTATCACTTCTGCTGATGTCAGCAGTCAGTAGGCAGGTCTAAAGGAAACAGTGAGAAATCATGCAGCTCCAAACTTGAATACAAGTAAGATTTTTCAATATTTAGGCAGGCAGTTTTAACCCTATAGGGTTAGGAATACATGTTTGTGTTCCTGACCCTATAGTGCTCCTTTAAAATTATACCGCAGCAAGTAACAAGACAGAGATGATAAGATCTCACACAGGGCCACTCACCTATTCTTTTTTTTTTTATTATTATTACTGCACTAACATGGTTATTCACTAAAGTAAAAATTAAAAGTGAATTTCATTCAATTTTGAATATCACTCTGTCATCCCCCTCCCCCAAAATGAGTATTTAATAAAGATAATATCTTTATGAAATACTCAGATTGGCTGTGTTGGAATTTCACTGAAATTACAACCTAATCAAAATATATACTGAGACAAAGTAGGGACTAGACACTCCACTAGACAAATATTGACAGAAGGCGGAGCTACCTTTTGTCAAGCTTGTCCTTTCCCATAGCTGTCAACAAAGACGGTCAGGGCCATCTATAATATTAATAGGACCCTGGGAAAAGCATTTTCTTGGGCCCCCTGGATCTTGCACCCTCCACCTCCCACACATACACACAAAATCACGCCTTTCACCCCAACACAGTGGAACGATTCAAGACATACTTAGACAGACATATACACTGACAGACATACTGACACATACACCCACAGTCAGACATTCTAACACACATATATTCACTGAATGACATACTGACACATACACACACAATCAGACATTCTAACACACATATATTCACTGACAGACATACTGAGACATACACACACAATCAGACATTCTAACACACATATATTCACTGACAGACATACTGAGACATTAACAGATACATACTGACATACACTGACACACAAATATATACTGACTGACATATTGCCACACATTCAGACATACTAACACACAGACACATACAGACATACTGACCCACCCAGACATACACAGACACTGACAAACAGACATACTGACACACACAGACACAGACAGACATACATGCTGACACACACATACACATACACTGACAGACATACTGACACACACACAGACACTGACAGACAGACATGCTGACACACACACAGACACTGACAGACATGCACACACACACAAAATGTACACTTTTGTACATGTTTCCAACCTTGCCTAGCTCAGCCCCACTCCTCTCTGCCTCCTTGCTGTCTCCCACTCGGCTCTCTGTGGGACAAAGTGAGCCGCAAGTCACTTCCTCCCTTAGAGAACAGAGAGCCGTGCGCCGCCCAGCCGGCTACAGAAAAGCAAGAGGCCCATTCAGGCTGTTAAAGGACCAGATCGCGTGACTGGGCCCCTGCTTACAAATGCAGAGTGTGTGTGTGTATATAATGCAGAGTGTGTGTTTGTGTGAATGCAGAGTGTGTGTGTTTGTGTAGTGTGTGTAAACTGGGTGGGGGGAGGGCATTTTTATTATTTTTAATATTTTTTTAATTTAATATTATTTTTTAATTTTTTTTATTTTAATATTATAAAATTAAATTATATTTTTTTTGTCCCCCCTCCCTACTTAATACCTGGCCAGGGAGGGGGGCTATGGCAATCCCTGGTGGTCCAGTGGATGGGCTGTGCAGTGGGGGGTTGGCAGGAAGTGTTTACTTACCTTTACAGCAGCTCCTGTCAGCTCCAGTCAGCTCCTGTCAGCTCCCCTGTTTAGCTCACAGTGTAAGTCTCGCGGTCTGCGTGCTGCGCTCTGACGGCCACGGGTCTTGCGAGACTTACACTGTGAGCTGAACAGGGGAGCTGCACGTAGCTGACAGGAGCTGACAGGAGCTGCTGTAAAGGTAAGTAAACACTTCCTGCCGGCCCCCAACAGGACCGCCGGGCTCATTACAATGTAAGTTGCCATAATACAGACACTGACTCGAGTATAAGCCAAGTCGGGCTTTTTAAGCACAAAAAATTTGCCGAAAAACTCGGCTTATACTCGAGTATATACGGTACATGGATGAAATTATATGACTGGAAAGGGGCGATGTGAAGATTTTTTGCACAGGGCGTCTAATGGCCTAAGGCTGGCCCTTACTATAGTCACCAGAACAACTACAGCTTAATGTATATGTTCTGGTGAGTACAATTCAGTGTGCAGCACTGCCATACAGCGTCTCCATGCTCTGCATAGAGACGCTGAACTTTCACCATTGATTCAATGCATCTCTATGAGGAGATACTGGTTGCACAGGGCCTGCCTCTGCCCTGCCTTCTTGGCTGAGATCATCATAACTGACTATCTCAAGCCAATCCAATGCTTTACCATAGGAAAGCATTGGATTGGCTGAGGTTGTCAATTCTCATGATCTCAGCAAAGGAGGCGGATCGGGAGCAGGGCCAGTGTTGGCATAAAAACAATAAAGGTACGTTCTTAACTTATCTAAGGCAGGCAGTAAGGGGCCCCGAGGGGCTAAATAGTGTTTTTTTTATTTTTTTATTCTTTATTTTTACATTGACAGACATTTAGTGTGACATCAATATCGGCTTACGCAGAAGCCCATTCTTCAATTTCGCTTTGATCATGTCTAAATAGTGTTTTTAACGCTACAGGGTTAGCATGTTTGTATTCCTGACCCTATGCTGTTCCTTTAAATTTGAATTTCCATTTTAATTCTCACTTTAGTGAATAATGCTGTGTGTGTGTGTTGGGTAAAGGGGAGACTAATTGGTTTTAATACTGTCAAATGGCTCTACACCTTTCTCAACCTCCAGCTAAGGGTAAATAAGTTATTGGGGCATAAAGAAATTTTGCATATTATTACCGTTCACAACTTCTCCCCTAGCACCAGCAAATTTCACAGCACTGGGTATATTGAACAAAGTATATAGTAAGGATCTGGTACCAGTAATGACAAGTTTTCATCACATTGCAAAGTAAATAAATAATTTAAACAAGGCAATTATTTAAAAAGTATTTATTGAACTATTAGCCTGTATTATCATTTTCCTGTTGTCACAGGAAAAAAAATGTTTTGATTATATATTTTCACCAAGATGATTACCTCACAACTGTAAGCATTAGAGGGAGACTACAGCTAAAATTAAAACTGATTTTACATACTTTAAGTTGTAACACCGCTTGTTATATTTATAAACATTACCGTATGTTATACAAATCTAATCATGGGTTTCTGTTAAACAATCATCCCAGGATGGGAAAAGGCGTTTACATATGCATTAGCAATTTCCTGTTTAATTTTCCAATTTACAGAATACTCAGAAAGTACGCAACAACAACAGAAATGTTGCATTACTTCCTTCATGGGTTCATTTACTAAATAGTACGTTCTGCTAAGTCTACAACCGAATCGCAAAAGTTAAAGGACCAATAAAGGCACCCAGACCACTTCAGCTTAATGAAGTGGTCTAGGTGCCAGGTCCATCTAGGATTAACCCTGCCAGCTGTAAACATAGCAGTTTCAGAGAAATTGCTATGTTTACATATGGGTTAATCCAGCCTCTAGTGGCTGTCTCATTGAGTTTGTTTTCCTGGCACTATAGTGGTCCTTCAAGTGAACATCTGCAGTTTAAAGAAAAGAAAATCCTCTAGTTCCAATCGAGTAGGAAATGTGGAGATATATGTTTGTTGTTGAAATTTTTTTGGCTAACATTTAAGAGTTATATGTCTCAACATGTGTACTCATGCTAACTTTTAATAAACAGTTAACCCATAAATCCCACCTTTGCACCTTTTCTTTGCTCCACTGCAGTTTTCACTCTACACACAAACAGGGTCCCATTTTCTCCCTCTGCAGAGAGACTCAAAATGGCAGTATCCTCCTTAAACCCAAATTCTACAATTCTACAATTTTATAGATTAAAGTTAATGGCTATAGTCTCACAGCCATGGAGGGAGAAGGAAATCGGTGCTATGAGAACACTACAGGCATTCTTTGCATGCTGCAATATCCACCTGCAATGCTTTATATCGGAGAGATGCTTTAAACAGTGAGAGAGATGCTAAATGTTTAAAACTGAAGTATCCCTTACAAACATGCATAATTACACCGAATGAGGGTGTTTACTATTTACCTATTTTGTCACACATACTGTTTGTGACAAAAAAAAAAATCTGCATTTCTACAAATTTTTAAAACCGTATCTTAAATATTGTAAAATAAGGGTTACTCAATAATTATGCAATGAAAAATGGAATGGAATAAAATTAAAATAAAGTTTTTATGGATTTACAAAATTGCAATTATTAAGTAGCCACTGAACTGCACTATGTACCAAAAATTATTTTATTCTTTGTTCATGTACTAGCCATGGGCCACAAGTTTCAAGTGAATGCTATGCTTGATTTTTTTTTTTTAAACTAAATGTGGTAATTCGTTGGTTGATAGACTGCTTACCACCTGAAAAATAGCTATTTTAAGAATGTAAAAGTAACAAAAAAGTGTTCTTACACATAATTCAAACATGGTTACTACAACAATGCTATACCGTAATCATTATCACAGTGCCTCTACATTGAAAAGACTGCTGTGTCATTATAGCACCATTGATAATGATAAAATAATAAGAGCACTGGGTACACTGCCGTACCTGGTAATGTGGTAACACACGTGCTCCCTGTGCAGTAGGTTTAGGGTTATCTGGGGGGCTTAGGTTTAACCTGGCTGAGAATCACAAGTTACAGTCTATAGCAAAGTCCCCCTTAATGCTAAGTTCCCCTTTCCCTAAGTTTCCATACCAACCAACCTAACCTAAGACGCCCATCCCAAACCTTAATTCTCCCATAAAACTAACTTTAACGCTAATAACTCCCGTAACTTGCCCTCAATCTTCTAATAACCTGCTCTTGTTCTTAGCATTGTATAAATGGTGTCACTAATACTAATGATTTAATGTCACTTTTTTTTTTTTTTAAATTCTTTATTTTCTGTGCATTGAGAAATGTGACAAAGCATAACATACTTGAGCTGCCTTTTCAACATAGGCAGATTAGTAAATAACAATCTATACGGCTCTGGATCAGCCTATACTGGTCTGGATCAGTCTATACGTTTTACAATTATAACATATCAGGAGCATAGGATTGGCAGCAAGTATATAGTGTGTGTCTTTTTGTCCTATGGTCGGAGGAATTAGCCTGCGTCCTAGTAGTCAGGAAGAACTTGTGGTCATGTTTCTGCACTTTTTCTGGTTTTCTAATGTGTCGAGTGTGCCCATGCGGTGGGTTCCCATAGGGTGGACTGGTTGTGAGTGATTGTGTCTATGTTGCTTGGGTCCTGTCAGTGGTTGAGTGGCACTCCTCTCTGTTGTTTGAGGGAGGGTGTTGGTGATTGTAAAGTGCTGTTGTTCGTCGTCGGTGAAAGTTGAATATGTGCGTCTGTCTGTGCCTGAGTGTGGGTTTTGTGTCGTGCTTGCTATGCTTGGGTGAATAGGTAGTATTGGCCCTTAACCTAAGAGGGTCACGGGGGTTGGGAGTTCGTCTCCGACTTTGTATGGGGAGTTATTAGTAAAATGTCGTATTTTGGTAGAGCAATAGGGTGAGATCAGAGAAGAGGAGAGAATATCAGAGCATGGAAATTAAGAGGTAAACAGTTTGAGGTGTTCAGGTCTCTGCCTCCGGTCTCTTGTTGCCCCTGGGGACGTATGGTACTATTCTGTCCGGGTCCCATGAGTGGGTGGCTTGCGTTGGTCCTGGTGTTGGGGCGTTCTGAGTTAGTAAATATAAAACTATCAAGTAAAAATGGCGCTATAAAATCAATAAAAATAATATCACTCACAAAGGCTAGCAAGCACTAATAAAAGTGAAATAGCTCTAAAACCACTCAAATAGAATACAAGAAAAGAACAAAAGTGCGCTGTGCCTTTAAGTGCTAATATAACAATATGAACAATATGTAAACCAATAATGGTCCAACTGTAGTGAATAAAGTGCAAATACAGTATATGTATATTATTAAAGTGCAAATAAATATAATCCAGTGGTAAATACCCTGTGAATATGTGCTCTTTGTGAAATACAAACAACAAAGAACTTACTCCTTTAAATTTAGACTCTGTTGACACTTGAAGGAGTATCTCTTTAAAACGCTCCACATAAAAACACAAGATAGAGGGACAAAAGAACACAATATAGTGTAACTCTGTATCACAAATGTAACCAGAAAATAATAAAAGAATATCACTCACAATGGTAGAGCAGAATAAAGTCTGCTCTAACTATAAAAGCGTGCAAATCCTCTCATCAGGATTCTGTAGGATAGTAGATAAATGTGCTTAAAACAAGCAGGACGGCACCAAATAAAAATAAGACTTTATTGGTATAAAATTTCACAGTGAGTCATCACCCTTCTCCCTGGAAAGCCAAGCTGGTACGGATCCCCTTCTGACTCGCGGCATGCACTTGCGGTCTTTCAGTGGATTGCGGCATCTTTCAGTGGATAGATGCTTCTATCCACTGAAAGACCGCAAGTGCATGCCGCGAGTCAGAAGGGGATCCGTACCAGCTTGGCTTTCCAGGGAGAAGGGTGATGACTCACTGTGAAATTTTATACCAATATAGTCTTATTTTTATTTGGTGCCGTCCTGCTTGTTTTAAGCACATTTATCTACTATCCTACAGAATCCTGATGAGAGGATTTGCACGCTTTTATAGTTAGAGCAGACTTTATTCTGATCTACCATTGTGAGTGATATTCTTTTATTATTTCCTGGTTACATTTGTGATACAGAGTTACACTATATTGTGTTCTTTTGTCCCTCTATCTTATGTTTTTATGTGGAGCGTTTTAAAGAGATACTCCTTCAAGTGTCAACAGAGTCTAAATTTAAAGGAGTAAGTTCTTTGTTGTTTGTATTTCACAAAGAGCACATATTCACAGAGTATTTACCACTGGATTATATTTATTTGCACTTTAATAATATACATATACTGTATTTGCACTTTATTCACTACAGTTGGACCATTATTGGTTTACATATTGTTCATATTGTTATATTAGTACTTAAAGGCACAGCGCACTTTTGTTCTTTTCTTGCGTTCTGAGTTAGTCCCAATTTTTGGAGAAGCGCTGGGGCCTCCGAGAGTGAGGTGAGTTTTAGAACCTCGTCTCCGCTGAATACCGCCAGGGTTCTTGGCAACAGCCATCTGTATTCTACGTTCCCCTTCTGCAGTTGTTCCGTTATGTAGCTCAAGGACTTTCTCCAGAGTAGGGTGCTCCGCGTGATATCTTGGAAGAAGGTAAGTCGTGAGGCTTCGAAGGCCAAGGGTGTCTTGTCTGTCACTGCTGCTAGTATGCGGCGTTTGTCTGTCATAGAATGGCAGCGGATGATGACGTCCCTTGGGGCCGTTGTGGGTGCCCTTTTTGCTTTGTTAATGCGGAAGTGGCTGTCAAATTCCAGCTTTTTGGCTTGTGTATGTGGCAGTATTGTGGCCGTGAGTCTCCTCAGGTACTGTGGTAATTCGGATGGTCCCACTGCATCAGGGATACCCCGAATCTTAATATGTGTGCGCCTGTTGTGATCTTCCATGGCGTCTAGCGTGTTTTGGAGCGCTGAGTTCGCTGTCTGTAAATGTTTCAGGGAGTCCCCCATGCTTTTCACCTCCTGTCGGAGGTCTAGTATGTCTTCTTCAGAGGCCTGTACTCTTGCCGTCACCGCCTGCGTTTCTGTGCGTATTAGGTTTATGTCGGTGTCAAACAGCCCCTTCATCTCCTGTAATAGGAGTCTGATGTCCCTTTTTGTGGCTGGGGCTGAGTCATCCCCCTCTGCTTGTGGGCTGCTGGGGGCTTCAGCTCTCATGTCTGTGCTGCTTCACTGGGACGGCTGTACTGAGTGTGTGGGGCCAGGTTCCTGGTCTTGTTCGGCCGCCATTTTGTGGCCTGCTGTGCGTTGCAGCAGAGTCCCAATATCTTGGGAGTCCCTGGATGCTGCCTGTTGTTGCTTCTGTGTTCGCCTCCCCATATCGTTGTCGGGTGAGTGGTGGCCTGCCCGCTGTCCGCACCAGTCCTCCAGGCTCAGGGGGATCCCCGCGGGTAGCTGCGATGCCGGCGGGAGAGCGAGATAGGCCCGGGATTTGCGGACTCGTTTTTTGCCCGATTGTGGGTATAAAAAGGGCATCGGTGGGTAGCCCTGGGAGCCCTGGGATCGTAGCTGTGGGTCCCGCGAGTCGATGGCCCCCCCTACCTGAGATGCGCGGCAGATTGTGTCTTGGTGTCGGGGAGCCGTGGATGATGGCGTCCATTCGGCTCCGTGGTTAAGCTCCGCCCCCTTAATGTCACTTTTATAGCACTGCGGGATGTGTTGACGCATTATAAATAATAAAAATAATAACAACACTGACATTTAATCTTGCCATTTTGACAACAAAGTATTAAACGTGCATGTTCATTTTCATGGTATCACTGTTTTGTGTATCATTGAATTTTTGAATTAGTACTCGTAGGTTACTCCTTAATTTGCACGTTCTAATCTAGAGTCTCATTTTACTGCTGTGTGCACACTTATATAAACAGAAAAAACAAAACAATGAACAAATAATATATAATACGTTACACAGGCCAAAGTAGGACCATGGAGAATAGGATATGTTAATATTCCAACCATGAATCAATGCATTAAACCAAACATTATTTTATTTATTGTTTCCATTTTTTTTTATTCGCCTTTTAGACCACATGCTTTTCTATATTGAAAGCTACTGATTCCATAAAAGCAGTGATTTTCTAGTGGTGTATAGAAACAGACATAAATGTCATTATGATTTGTGGAAATGTGTTCTGCTTTGTATACAAAGTTCATTTTTCCTCTGTGCTGTGATTAAGCATTGACACCTACACATTTCTGATCTGCAAATGGAAAATAAAATGAAAGAATGGCAATGAACATGGGGGTACATTGACAGATGTTTATTTTTCCCGTTACCAGATCATTCTGTGAATTATTATTTAAAACAGATTGAAAATATATAAAAACACAGGACATGATATAAAATTACCTCAGGGCTTTAGAAAAACAAACAAAAGTAAACTTCCTGTTTAACCTTGAAAGTGATGGAAAGAGTAATGTCATCATTCTAATTTCAGAGCAATTTATGTTATTTCCAGCATTATGTACTGAAATGGGAATTGTTGAGAATTAGTGATGTCCCGAACGGTTCCGTTCGGCGAACCGTTCGGGACATCACTATTGAGAATTCAAAGTGAATTTACAATTTAAGGCCAAAAAAACAAACTGAAAAAAAAAAATCTCAAAATCTTAAGGTCAGTTATTTTGGTCTAAAATGTGAAATCCAGTTTCAGGGTTATTTACTGAAGTAATTATTCAAATTGAATCCAGGGTGTATTTGCATTTAAAGCCATAGTAAATTAACTGAAAGTATAGCTGACTTAAAGAATGTTTTCAGTTCAGCTATTATGACCTTAAATTTGAAGTTCACTTTGAATTCTCACTTTAGTAAATAAGCTTGTTTCTAAATTCCTGACAATTCTCACATTAGTGAAGAACTCAGTTACAGGCAAGGCAGTTTTGGTCATTGCTTACTGCTATTTGGGCACTGATGGATTTATAAAATGATCTGTGAGTATTAAGAAGGCTTATATATAAAAATACTTAACGCATAATTCATTTTGTGTTTTATATGTGGTTACTTAATCTGGAATCCAAATGATAATCATGATAATTCATAATATCTAAATCAGATTATAAGGAGCAACATTGTAGGGTTTGTTTCTTTACTCCTCATTCCTTATAGGGACACTGAGGGCACCCATACCACAACATCTAAATGAAGTGGTCTGGGTGCAGTGCCTCTCTTTTCAAGTTTGCAATTTAAAATAATGTGGTGTTTACATTGCAGTTATAACACGCCTCTGCTGGATGTCAGGAAGACAGCCACTAGAGGCACTTACTCTGCTATAACTTTTTCAAACTCTATTATAGATCAAATGCTGCTCCTAGAGCATTTGATTGGTGCAGGCCAGCATTTTGCCCTGCATGCGCACTTGCCTCCCAATGCATTGGATTGGCTGAGATTGTCAATCTTGATGGTCTCAGCCAATGAGAGGAACTGTATAGTTTAGACAGTGCACTGATGGCTGAACAGTAAGTAAATCTCACCTTTCAAACCATCATGTGGGGGGGATATCTAGATAGATAACAAGAAACTATGGCATTAAGAATGCATTCCTAATGCTATAGTGTTACTTTAAGCACCAGGACCTTGGCATATTTCTTAATATCATGCCATGCATAACATGTAACTGGTCCTTAAGTGGTTTAAATAAAGAAGCAGAAAACACAAAGATTTACATTCCCTTTAGTAACTTTGTTGTTTACATTATGGAAGGAAAACATTTCACATTTTAAAAAAGGCAATTTAATAGCCTTAGTTCTTGGTTATCCTTAGTTTCTGGAAAATAATTTGGTTTTAATTCCTAACCTGAGAGCATCAAGTCCACATGACAGCCCTAGTATGGGTGCCAAAAAAACAGAAAGTTATTTGGATAAATCACCTTGCAGAATATACAGTCTTCATCATCTTTACTAGCTTTGTATGTCATATATAAATATGTTTAGTGGTTACCATTATTTATATTACATTCATATTTTAATAGAAACATTGATTTAGACAAGCATATGCACACATTTATTGCACACACACTTTTTTTTTGCATTTAAAAAATAAATTAAAAAAACAAATGCTTAATACAAAAAAGGTTCAGAAGTAAAAATGAACTGGAAAAAATAGCGATTGTTTCACAGCACATTACAACTAAGTATTACTGTAGTGTTAAAAGACCTCATATTTTGGAAAAGCGGGTCAAAAAAAGCTATTTACTACTTGTCCTCCTCTGTTCCATTCCATTAGGCAAGAACCCTGCAATGATCGGTACTGGCCAGATGAGAGCAGCAACGCTCCAGACAATGATCACCAAAGTCATGAAACAAGCCACCAAAGTAGATTCAATGGGTTTTCGGTTCATCCTCCAGCCCTGTTCCCCTCTCAGTTCTTCCAAACTGAAATCCAGGCAGCAGAAATTCACGGATTCCCCCAGCAACGAGTTATGAGAGTCTGCTGAGGAGGAGGACGAAGAGATAAAGGAAAAAGTAGAAGATGATGAATAGGCAGAAGCTTGCTGGTGTCTGAGATGCCCACTTCTTCGGCCCCTGGACCATCCACATCCCACGCAAAGTCGAAACTCCTGCTGGGCACCAGCTACCCCAATATGCTCAATGACCACTGGGGACACCACACGGTTGTAGGCGGCTGAGAAAAAGGCTCTGCCGTGGTTATTGGTGGAAAAGAGCAACAGGTCACACTGGAAACCCAGTTGGCGTCCCCAGCGCACCAACAAGGAGGTGATCATCAACCTCTGGACACTGATGTTGCAGTGAGGTGCCCCTAGCTGCTGAGGGTGGGAAGGGTGCAAATCCTGAGGCTTGTGGGGAGACAGGATTAAAGTATCTCTCTGGCTGCTGCTGTCCCATGTGTTGCTAGCAGAGGACTCAGAAGGAAGAGGTGGTGGAGCAGAAGAGGTTAGATCCCTTGCCTGCCCTGCCCTAGTCCCCCGATGTTCTTCTAGATGTCCCTCAGCACTGGTTCTCTTTTCATTGTGGAGATCAAACTCCAAGTTGGCCATAGACCTGGTGGAAGAGTTAATAGGCAGGAGAAAAACATCTTCTTCCCCCTGATCTTGCTGGCTCCATCCTTGGGTTGGGGGCTGGACGCAGATGGCCAGCAAAGCCAGGAGCCCCCGGATCAGACTGCAGGGAGGGTAGAGGCGCAGCACCCTCATTGCAATGAGTGTTAAAGAGGAGGCTGCATGTTTAGCTTAATGTAGACACAAAGAATAAAACTCACACAGGCGTGGAACAAGCTGCTGGTAACTATGAGAGCTCCACACTGCCACCAAGTCAACCTCCCTCTGTTTTTTTTTTCTCTCTCTCTCTCTCCCCTCCTCCTCCTCCTCCTCCTCTCAGCTGTTGATTTGCTTGATTAGAGGATTGTGAAGAGAATCTTTATCTATCCCTTTATTTTTTGATTCCCCAAAGAGGAAGTACAAAAGGTCTCAGGTTAACAAATACAGCCTACCACCTTCTCTGGTGAGTACTGTATGGATGTTGTGAGTTAAGCTGGAATAATTAAATCGATCAGTCTGCAACAGTTTATTACAAAAGGGAATTGCAATATTACTTAGCTTGTGCTGTTATGAAGATTTTTTTTTAACTTTTATTAATTTGCCCTTTTTGTTATTTCTTACATCATTAGGTTCTTTCCACAAAACAGTGTTTTATGACATCAAAGGCTCTCTTCTATTAAAAGTAAAATAATGAGTGTAAACTGATTTAATCACTCCATGTGATATTCCCTGTTTTCTTATACTGTGATACTGTGAATAGTGTGCATAGGAGGTTTATTTCAAAAGGAAAATAGACCATTTGAAAACATGGGTTCATGAAAAAAAAGAAAATATTGCAACTTTATACATTCGTTTTGTTTTCACACAGTTATTTGTCTTTGCGGAAATATTGGACACATGACAGATATGGCATGCTCTCTGCAATACAGTATTTTTAATAGTTCAGAATAATTAGCTGAGAAGACCAAATAGTATTTTTATGACTATAAGCGCTCAATTTAATTAAAATAAAAAATAAATAAAAAAACAATAGTGTAAACTGATTTTATCAGTCCAAGTGGTATTCCCCCTCAGACACTATAATGTATGCTTTATATGAATAAAAGCATGTAGCAGCTACTAACATGCTGAGGAAATGGGCATGCTGATGGACCCTGACTCTTCTTCCTTGTGAATTGCCATATCTATTAAACACCCAAATGTTATATTTAACTGCCATATGGGTTGTGAGCCATAGAGAAGGACAACTGTCATGTCTTGCTCTACTTTTTAATTGTATTCCCATTATTTATACCTGTTTCTACTGCCAGAAGATTGCGTTATGCTACATGCCACCTGGAATGCAAGTAGTTAATTCTAAGTTTCAGAGATGGTTTAGATTATTCCAAAGAGAATTGCAAACCAGCGATAATATCCATAAAACTAATATTTGGGGGCATCAGTGAATTCATTCTTATTAACCTTTTTCTGCACAATGTTTTATATTTACATACATCAGAGGATTGGTTGTGGCTTAGACTCAGCTTCTGATTGCTTTGGAATTACACAGTAAAATCATTTATAAAGTGCCCCAGCAATTTTTGTACCATGGATCATAATTGTTTATTTTAAGTCACAAATAATAATACCTTTCTGCAATTTTGGTTGGGTGTTTAACAGTATGATGGTATTTAACACCATCAGAGGTAAAAAATAATAAATAAAAAATGCCTTATGATGAAGTTACTAGGTGAGCTATTTTATAACACTCATTAAACCACCTTAGCTGATGTTAAAAACATCCTTTCTGGGAGTAGAAAGCATCCTTATAGCAACTGGAATTATACAAAATGTAAGAAAAAATCTAATCCCTTGCCTAAAACTAGGACTAGAGAATAGCAAAGCTTGATTAAATATCTACTACAATTCAGACCCAACTCCGTGAAGTGGCACTCTAAGCTTATAACCACTACAGTTCATTGTTGTGGTTATAGAGTCAGGAATGTTTGCATATATCCCAACATTTCAAATGGACTAAGAGAGACACTTTCATTTTAGGGTTATGAGTGGAGGTGTGGCCAGGGGTTACACACCCACTCCCAACTCTAAAATGAAAGGTTTTAGATACCTTGATAACACAATGAAAGGTTTTAGATACCTTGCTTGTAACAATTTAGGCAACTAAAATTGCTGTGGGTTGCTGTATCTGTCATGCAGAGAGAGCTTGCCAGCATTTCGGTTCTGGACTGCTCTTATGGGTGTGATTAGTCTGATATGCCATAGAACTGGTACTCTCTGTAATGCCACAAGTGAGCAAATACTTTTTTGAGACCTGAGTGGGGACTAACCGAAGAGCAGGCTACTGAGTTCCTCTAAGCTTTTGTTCATACTCACAGTTCTCATATTCTTTGTTCTTGTTCCACTAACTTGGCTCTCCCCAAGTTAAAAGTGTTATTCAGACATGGACCCTGTGCTCACTGTGCCTAGAGCGTTATTAGTCCAGCTCGATTCTGGACTGTCCTTATGACATCAGTTTGATATGCCTTGGAACTGGCTCTCTCTGTAATGGGAGCAAACGTGAGCAAACACTACTTTGAGACCTGAGCAGGGATTTACTGAAGGGCAAGCTACTGATTTCCTCTAGGAATTTGCCCACTCTTAGTGTTCTCATATTCTATGTTAAAATAGTTATTTTCTTTTCTGTTTTGTTTATATTGTCTTATTATTAAAAATTTATTAATAAAAATATTTGAAAAGAAAAAAGAATTGTAGTTTTAATCCTTCACAATGCTGGATGGAAATCTTTCATCATGTGAGCCCCCTACCCTTAAGGACACATGAGGGAAAGTTTCCGTCATGTACTAAAATGAATGCCAGATTGCAACGGTGATTGTGCAGTTGATGTTATTGCTGGGTTCCTCTGTGTCCAAAGCAGACCAGCAGCAGCAAATGTTTAAAAACATTTTTTACAAAATATAAAATAAAAAAAATCTTTATAATATTATTTAGTTCTTGTATAAAACATTCAAAATGTTTAGGAAGTTTTGTGCCAAGGAAGTTTCCAGAATTCTCATAGCATACTCAGAGGTGACAGACAGTGCCTCAGAGTTTGACACAGGTTAATGCAGCAATGTATTTTTGCCTGATTCTGCAGGGCCCCCAGCAGAATAGCATTGCACGCGATGCAGAAGACTGGGTACTCTCTGATAATTGTACGTCAAATATTCCCTCTTTCACAGCAAATAGTCATTTGCTTGTTCATAATTTTAATTGATGAGTGGCTTATATTTAAAAACATAAAATTTGCAATCATAAGCAGCTAAAATACTTAAAATGAGACATTGGCAAAGTATCAACTTTGTAAAGATATGAAATTGTCGGGTCTCAAACTTTCCCTTTTATTGTTGGGCTGTGTGGGTAGTTTGAATTAGCACCCTGCTAAAATGATGGTTAAAACCAGAGAGTTCAAGACCTGCACAAATAATTGAGACATTAGTCTTGGATTGGTTCTTGCGAGGATTATCCCAAGGCCTGCGACAGTGATCAGGGCAGGGAAGCCCTGCCAGTTATGATTCAATGGTGGCGCTGGTTTAAAGATATTGTCATGATCTTGTGCAGGTCAGATATGAGACTTTGGCCAGGGTTGTTATTTGAGACTTTATTGGTGCTTTTAGACATATTATGAAACTTAAGAAAAAAAACGGAATTAAGGCAATATTCCACAAAACAGGATACTTGCCACAGAACAGGTTACTTGCTAATAATAAAGAAAGTCTGTGATCTCCAAGTAGGGTTGATACAAAGGCAGGCTGGTTACAGAGGCAGGCTGGTAACAGTGGAGCAGGGTTGAAGATAAGTCTGGAGCAGGTTGGTATGGAGCAGGGTTGAGGGTAAGTTTGGATCAGGTTCACAGGAGCCAGGAACTGAAGTCTTTCAGGCAAATCACCAACTTCAATGTAAAATCCCTGTTGTGAGCAGGGTGTAGCCTTATGAAGCCTCTTCATTAGTCCAGGCAGGTGATGATGATAAGGTGACTGAGGAGATTAGTGGCTAGGGAGGCCACTAGAGGCAAGAAACAAGTATTACCTGAAATAATAACAGAAGAAAATGAAACATATTCCTGATTGTCAGGATAGGATCCTGACAGATATACGGCAGTGAGAGAATTAAACTTTACATCACCACCTACAGTACAACAGAACCAAGTACTGCATCCAAGCCTAAGGGCATTGAACTATGGCAAAATTCAAAAGCCTTTGAGACCCCCAGTTACCTGCTTTGAGTGTGGGGAGCCAGGACACATAAAGGCTGTGTGTCCACATTTGCACGAACTAATGGAATGTGGGTATAATTCTGTAAATGAGGTCTTTTGTGGATTGATCTGTTTGGTGGGGAAACAGACTGAAACATGTATATATGATAAAACTGTTTTGTTAAATGGTAAGGCAACTTTAGCTCTTGTGGACTCAGGTAGTGATATTACCCTAGTGACAAGCAGTTTGATTCGGCCTTCTCAATGGACACCAGAAAGGAAGGTTGAGGTACTCTGTGTACATGGCTGTATCATACCCTACTACTTCTATAAAAATAGGCTATCTGTGCTAAACACACCCAGTATTGGCACCATTTTTGCCTAAATTGCCCCATGCTCTTATTCTTGGGCGAAATTTCACAGTCTTTGAAAGCCTTATTCAGACCCAGCTTTAAAAGCCTTATTCAGACCCAGTGTGAGTCCATAAGTGAGAGCCCTTTATGTATTTTACCATTTACACACCCTTACTTGTTTCATGATAAGTGTAAAAGGCGCAAGTCAAGGTGTGAAAGAAGGGAAGATAAGCATAGGGGAACTATGAACTTACAAATGGTTTTGATTAATGATGCTGAGAGTAATGAAGGTGTGGCCTTACCTGGCCCAAGTACTAATTTCACACCTTTAACTAAAAGATTTATTGACCCCATGTCCAAACCCTACAATAGGTTAATATTGAGGACTTAGGCATTGGCTGAAATCAATTTGGAAGGGAACAAGTTAATGACTTAACATTGAAAAATGCCCATATCCAAATTATAGAAATTAATGGTACTATGGTTGATGGGAAATCCAGAGAGATGTATCCCCATTTCATTGTTAGAAATGACTTACTTTATAGAGTGATCACAGAGGAGGGGCTAGAGATTAAAAAGCTCTTGGTACCCAGATCTTTCAAAAGGAAGGTGTTGGATCTGGCTCATCCTCACTTATTTGGGGGAACACTTAGGAGTTGAAAAAACTCATGAAAGGATTCTAAGGAGATTTTTCTGGCTTGGGGTATATGAAGAGGTCAAGAGGTACTCATGCCCAGACTGCCAACTAGCAGCCCCAAAACCTCAATTAAGGGCACCCTTAATCCCATTGCCAATTATTGAAACCCCTTTTGAGTGAATTGCTATGGATTTGGTGGGACCAGGGGCGTTTTAGCCGCGAGGCAAACAAGGCATTTGCCTTGGGCGGCATTTTTCAGAGGGCGGCAAAAAAAGCCGCCCCCCAAATGCCCAGGGCAAATGTCATGTTAGCCTCGTGGCTAACAGACATGCTGGGCGCCGGGCTGCATTGGCGAGCGGGCGGGCGGGCGGCTGACGAGGGAGCTCTTCCTGTGAGCTGACTGCTCAGCTCCCTCGCGCGCCGCAGAGTGAGGCTGGGAGCCGGGATATGACGTCATATCCCGGCTCCCAGCCTCACTCTGCGGCGCGAGGGAGCTGAGCAGTCAGCTCACAGGAAAAGCTCCCTCGTCAGCCGCCCGCCCGCTCGCCAATGCCGCCCACCCAGCAGCCACTGGACCACCAGGGAGATAGAGAACCCCTTCCCTCCCCAGCACTCCCAAAGGTAAGGAGGCTGGAGGAGGGGGGGGGGTTAAAAAGTACATGTGTTAATGTGAGTGAGTGTGAGTGAGTGTGTGTGTGTGTGTGTTAGTGAGTGTGTGTTAGTGTGAGTGTGTGTTAGTGTGTGTGTGTGTCTGTTAGTGTGTGTGTGTGTGTCTGTGTGTCTGTTAGTGTGTGTGTGTGTCTGTTAGTGAGTGTGTGTGTGTGTCTGTTAGTGTGTGTGTGTGTCTGTGTGTCTATTAGTGTGTGTGTGTGTCTGTTAGTGAGTGTGTGTCTGTTAGTGAGTGTGTTTGTGTCTGTTAGTGAGTGTGTATTAGTGTGTGTGTGTGTCTGTTAGTGAGTGTGTGTTATTGTGTGTGTCTGTTAGTGTGTGTGTGTGTGTCTGTTGTTAGTGAGTGTGTGTTATTGTGTGTGTCTGTTAGTGTGTGACTGTGAGTGAGTGTGTCTCTGCTAGTGAGTCTCTGCTAGTGAGTGTGTGTGTGTGTGTGTTAGTGTGTGTGTGTTGTTAAAGGAGTGTGTTAGTGTGTGTCTGTTAGTGAATGTGTGTGTGTCTGTTAGTGAGTGTGTCTGTGAGTGTGTGTGTCTGTGAGTGAGTGTGTCTCTGCTAGTGAGTGTGTGTGTGTGTGTATTTAGAAGGCGGGGGGAAGGGATGGGAGGGGTCACGCGCACGGGGGGGGAAGGGATGGGTGGGGGTCGCGCGTGCAGGGGCGGTTGGGGGGCGCCTGAGTTTTGTCCTGCCTAGGGCAGCACAAAACCAGGATACACCACTGGGTGGCACCATTGGAAAAATCGGCTAAGGGTAATCATTACTTTCTGGTTGTATTGGATTATGCCCCACGCTATCCAAAATCTATTCCACTTCACAATACTGCTTCCAAAACCATAGCAAAGGAATTGCTTCAGGTATTTTCTCGAGTAGGGTTACCGAAAGAGATTTTAACTGACCAAGGTACGACTTTTATATCCCGACCAATTGAAAGATCAATTCCAATTATTCCATTAAAAACTTTGAGGACATCTGTGTACCATCTTCAAACTGATGGCTTAGTAGAAAGATTCAATAGAGCCCTAAAACACATGTTGCGCAAGGTTGTAGGTTGAGATGGGAAAAATTGGGACACTCTCTTACCAAACTTGGTGTTTGCTATTTGTGAGGTTCCCCAAACTTCTGTAGGGTATTCCCTTTTTGAGCTTGTAACGGATCGCCTGGCACCCCGACTGGGTACCTCCGTTAAAGGATGCTCCTAGCGCTTCCTGAGGACTCCAAACACTGCAGCAGACACCACAACCACCGAACCGGAGAAGCATATGAATCCTCTCAAGCATATGAATGCTGTAGACAGTTGAATAGGAACCATACGAATAGGTTTACTCTCCTAGCAGTCAAACTGGAACAGCATACAATAAATCCTTCCCCCAATAATGAGACGACACTTCACTTTGAGGGTTAAAACAGGAACTCTCTGTACTGTCACATACAGTCTCTTTTATTCCCAAATCACAAACATAGTACAGCCCACAGGGCGTTACAAAACAACCAATCACATATCAGTTACATCCCACATATTCCCTCCCCTTATCCTGAGAGGAAACTCAATTACACATACAGTTAAAACATACTTTCTACCCAACTTTCATAACTCCAAAACCATACATCACATTCACATAAAATTACATATTCACAATCAATCCATTCAGGGAACAACATATTCAAAAATGGCACAAATCAGACAAGGGGTTCAAAAGTTAGTAAAAAGTCCTT